TAACAGCACTACCAGAAAATGGTCACAGAATGGTTCACACGCAGAGATACAGACGCACACAGGTGAGCACAGAGAAGAAGCACTACACATTTTCTGCACCACAGCAGAGAGCAGCCAGGGTGCTGCCAGGAGCGTCCCCACAGCAGTGCCAGCCCTGGCTCACGGGAGCCCCTGCGCGGCGCTGGCTGAGGCAGGCGGCTGGGCCAGGGCCGGCCTGCAGAGGCCGTGAGCTGCACACGTCTGGTCTGGGGTTGGGAGGAGGCTGCTCAGTTTTGTGGCAGTGCTCACAGCACCCACACAATCGCCATAAACTGACAGCGAGATCCACTTTGATTAATGCCCCCTGAAGCAACGCTGAGGAAATCTGCGTGCCAGACATAGGTAAAAAAATAAATAAAACCAGTTTGGCCCCCAACCAGATTCAAACTGCTGCTTAAAAAAAAAAAATCTCATCTTGTGGACTTCCTTTCTGAGTGTATCTTGCTCAGACTTTTTAACCAGGCACAACAAACTGTTTAGTTTGTACTTTCTTGTATGCACGAGACTACATTCAGATGAAAACATTCATTCTGCTTCACAGTGATCAAGTCTCGTGAGTTTCTGAATGCTCTTGAATTGGCTTTTGCCATGTTCAGTGGTAGATAAAAATGCCTAACTGGGCAATTAGGAAAAAAGAACCTTTGGCTTTCCTGAAGATTGCCACTAGAAGGCTGTGACCACACGTGTCTCTGTCGCTCCCACTCAGTTCAGTGAGTGGACAAACGTGAAATATTTTTATCACCTGAGTTTCAGCATCTGGAACTGAAAACTGGTGAGCACCCAGGACACCTCGTTTTCAGCAAGCCCAGCCAAACACACAAAATCTCAACTCCCTGTGTTTCCTCCTGCCGTCTCTCACCTGCCCCAAGGAGTTTCTTGTCTCTCTCTCTGGAGCTGGACTGAGTTCACAGCTCTGCCCACCCGCTGGGAGTGACAGCTCCAGCACAGCGCCGTGCCTCGGGCAGGAGGGAAACCTGAACTCACAGGGAGTGGGACTCCTGGTTTTGTCTTGCAGCTCAAATAAAACAGAGGCAGGTTATATTGAGTAATTATCTAAGATAACGTGGTGAACTCAACTATTTGGAGGAAGAAGCTGGAGCAGTCGGCAGTGTCCTTGTTCTCAAGCACAAGTGACCACCAAGCACAAGCAACCAAAGCTTCCTCTGACTCTCAGTCAAGGTGAGCACCTCTCACAAAGTCGCAGCGTTAAAAATACCATTTAAAAAGCTTCATTAAATTATAAGGGTCCATATCAACATCATCTGCATTAAAAGATATCTGTGAAACAGGTATCTGGAAACAAAAGCCATCTTTGATGAGAACTGCATTGGTGCCAACTGAAGGAAGTAACAGTACAACTCTGGACCCTCGGTGCTGGGCTGGAGTCTCACCCTCCAAGTGCACACTGGGCACACAGTGTGAAGTGAATCATCTGATGGAGCAAATGGAAGAGAGTCCTCCAGTGATGCCTAGGTAAGCATCACCACGAAGGGAGCCTACAGGTAAGACTAGATGACTACCAGACAATGTTACAGGCTTGATGGCTGTAAAATAAGGGAATGCATGGCACATCTAAAAGTGGAAGGCTAGAGGCAGTACTGAAGTTATCTACTCAGAGCCTTCTAGAAGCCAGGCTGCAAGGAAGCATCAATTTTCTTTTCAATTTATGTATTGCTAACAACAGAAGGATCTAACTCATGAACTTTTTTTAAACAGTGAAATACTTAAAAAGTAATTATCTATCTGGTGGAGTGAAATATTAGACAACACTTACAATTTATTTTTGAGGTGGGACTTTGGAGATACTTGAGCCCTCTTCCTCCCATGTATGATCAGACTGGTTACATCTCTGTGCAGGTGTCTCAACCTCAGAGCAACCAAAGCTATTCCCATTTATGATGGAAACCTTTTGATTATACCAGATAACATGAACAATTTTCTCTCCTCGCTGAGACAGGAAAAAAAAAACAACTCACTGCTCAAGCCCTTAAACTGCAAGCCATGAGATACAGGTAATATGAAGAGTTTAAATCTTTGAATTCATCTATACCCAAGTGAAATGCATTGGAGAACAGGTGGCTCAGGAATGCAACTTCCAAATTAATGCATCTGTCTAGAAAAATTGTACATTTTCATTAAACCAAAGTTGAATTGTTCTTTTCTAGTAAATCTAGAAATGATTGTTCTAACAGAGCAGGCCATAAGTGCAAATTATTTACAGAGCTAAGCAAAAAAAAACCCCAACCCTCACAGCTTGGTTTAAGGCAATTATTGCATGACTAACTGCCATTTTAGCAACGCTCCCCACAGCTGCTCAGCACTGCATACAGGTTCTCAAGATTGGTAAGCAGAAGTTTTCTTCTACATTTCTGCATTTGCTGGTTCATTAAACACTTGTCATTTTCAAAATAATAGGTAACAGTAATGGTACATAAACTGTTAAAAGGCAACTAAACTATCAATTGCATCTTCAAAACCATGGAAAGCAATATCTTGTTATTTACAGAGCAGTGCAGTATTATAAACAGGGATTGAAAGGTACCTATACATAAATGACATTGTTCTCCATCTACAGAATAAAGAACATTTAAGAACAGTTGAGCATGACAATTGACATGACAAGTCTGAATACAAACAAGAAGGAAATCAAAGGAAAGGAGAATATTTTTCAAATTGCATCTGTCATGAAGAGCTCCTACTGTTTTTGACATTGTCATTTACAACGATGGCACAAGTTACATACAGGGTCAGGGTACAATAGCATTTAATGGGCAAGAGCCATTGCTGTCAATGGACCTTATCCACGGGTACTGAAATTACCTTTTCAGAGTGAAACTTGGTGGGCAGAAACACAAGAAACTTAGAAAAGGATTAAATTTATCCGATTCATTTGTCTTGAATTTCCGAGGGGCTTTCATTTTAGGGCAATGTGAATGTACATGCTCAGGGACTGACTTCCTAATTACACCACTGATATGCAAAGATTTGTATTTGATCAGTATTCTTAACATTTACAAAGCAGTGTCTGGCACTCAGCCAGAAACCGAAATCTTTGTCCTTTCCTGAGGTTGCAAGTTAATGCATCACAAAGTGCAGCTCCCAGTGCTCTGTAAAAGTCACGACTGTATGTTACTGAACATGACTCCCCCCAGTTTGGCATAGCTTCACTGGGGGTCAGAATTCCCATCTCGTGTAGAAATGCTCTGGGCAAACAGCTGAGTAACGTCCAGCGGGACACGCGACGTTCCGGAGGTGGTGCTGGTTTCATCCTCCTGAGCAAGCACCGAGACCAGGACCCTGAGGCCAGGGCTCTCACCTTTCAGTTTCTGCCCTGGCACTGACCAACTTCCCTACTGGCTGCTGTCCTCAGGATCCCTCCAGAAGGCAGTTCCTGAGGTTTTTGGTGATTCACAGGAAATTGGTACACCAACAATCCCATTCACTTTCCAACTCCCAAGTTCGGTTTTTATGAACTTGTGCCTCAACTACACAACTGTGTACTGGAAACAGACCTAGTACAGAAATCTAGGGAGGACTTAAATACCTTTACTGAAGGGGGGAAAAAATAAAAATAGAGGTGCTTCCTAGGCTTCAAAAATTATCCAAAACAAGTTATGTGGGAGTTACATTGAATGGCTATATGGAGAGGTCCACAGATGTTTTTCTGGTGACAGGAGGGACCTTTCCAGAACCTCTTTATCTGTGGCCAAGCAGCTTATACAGCAGTTTAACTGTGCTAGAAGCAGCAATTGTCTGAGGAAAGGCCAAGAAGTACTTGGTGGGTGCTCTGCTATCTCTGCAGACGAGACATCCGAAAGACCAGTTTATAAGCTGTAGGTCCCTGCACCTCTATCATCAGGTTACTTATAACGGGACTGAGAAATGCAGAACCCAGAGTTCATGATCCTTTATTCCTTGGATAGAGACACGTTGCAGTGAGCAACGAGTGAACCCAGTAACTTCCAGACTTCAGCTATACTGTTCAAAAAGTTAAAACCTGGGATTCAAAAGCTGCTTCCCAGCTGCATGCCTGCACCCCAGGGGTCACTACTTTCCATGTCGTGTAACCTTGTACTTCTGATGATCAGCAACACTACGAAGAAGGCCCATGGTGTCCAGGTACACAACTGCTACTGCAGCGTGCTGCAGTGGCTTACTGAACAACCAGCTTCTCCTTCAGAAAAAAGCATTCCTCAAGGATTTTAGTGTTTGTCCTATGTAGCTTGTTTTGTTTGTTGGATTTATTTTTTTTTTAAATCCAAACCATGCACTATCTGATATAAAATCTACTTGGTTAAGCCAATTAATCTGCTTTGTAATCATGCTGTGCATATGAATTACATAAACCTTTTAAAAACTGAAGGTAATTATGCTAGATGAATCTTTGGAATTTACTTGCCTATGTATTTTTCCAATGAACAGAACCTGGAACACTTGTAGATATTGCTTCTGAGGACAGAGGCACAACTGCTTGTGAAGGCACTTTCTGCCAGAAGCTTCCAAGGTTTTCATTACTAATCACACACAGGGCAAACCTGCTGAAAACTGGTACAACACTCTACTACTGCTCTCAGATCAGAGCCTGCAGCAGATATAACTGAACTCTGGTTACTGGATAGATCTGTAGCCTTGGCTTGTAGATTTTGCTTCTGAGGACAGAGGCACAACTGCTTGTGAAGGCACTTTCTGCCAGAAGCTTCCAAGGTTTTCATTACTAATCACACACAGGGCAAACCTGCTGAAAACTGGTACAACACTCTACTACTGCTCTCAGATCAGAGCCTGCAGCAGATATAACTGAACTCTGGTTACTGGATAGATCTGTAGCCTTGTTTTGTAAGTTAATTAACCCTTTTTCTAAAGGCACAGGATATAATTTTCATATGACACTTAGGCAGGGAAAGGGCATTTTCCCCCTTCAGGGATCTTTAAAAAGCCTGTCTTGCAGCAGACCACTGGATTCATTCATGCCATCATCTTCTTTGTTCAAGAAGCCAGGTTAGAGTTTGAAGCCCTTGTCGTTGTACCTGTGGATGGTCACACAGCCATGGTAGGACACGGGCCTGGGCATGGCTGCCACCCCCGTGATGATGCCCGTGGCGGGGTCGTAGCACAGGATGGTGTCTGTGGCTTCACCGTTCTCCCGTCTCCCACCGAGGATGTAGATCTTCCCATTGCACACAGACATGCCACAATTCTCCTGGTTCAAAATACACACAGGAACACAGGATTAGTTTAAACACAAGACCTCAGTTCCTGCACGCCCAGCCCAGTGCAGGAGGACAGCATTATCACCACAGTTTGTAGACTGGCCCATACTGTTCCCTCCTGAAGGGGCCAACACAGACAGCACAGTAACTGGGCAGAGCAGCAGCAGAATCCTACAGAAAAGACTATTTGGGATCTAAGCCTTCACTGCCCATTGCTCAGACAAGGGATACAGTGGGATAAATACAGCTCAACACTGTACTTAGCATATAAACATGTGAGATAAGGAAAGGAGAAGAAGGGTTTTCAGAAGAGAGACTGCAGCAGGTAACAGTAATGCAAAAATACATGAACAAGGAGAAGCATGTTAGAGGAGTAACAGATAATGAAGAGGGATATAAACAGGGGAAAGGAAAAAGCCAGGACTAAGTAAAGAGGGTGTGAGAAAAAGACAGCATTGTGTCTTACTTAAAGTAAAAGAGAGGATTTTATTTCTTCCTTAAAAGCAGGCATGGAAATGTGTGAAAAAACACAGATCAAAAACAGAGGAACACAGGGAAGGCCAGGAAAAAAAAGAACAAATTTCTGTTAAGGTGGATACTGTAGAGTATGTGACTGATGCTTTAGAAATGTAGGGAAATTTAGCTGACACACATGCAGGGTACACAGTTCTCAATTCTGCTCAGTGTTCCATAGGTAGAAGTGATACAGCTCTTGCTGCTTAAGTCAGACAGCCTGTGCTACACAGTGCAGTTTTTTCACAATGTAAAAACAGCCTCCAATATTTTGTTACATTGAAAGGTTTTCATCAATTATAAGGAAATTACCATGTTCAGTCTAAATTAAAAAGCACAGCAGAACTGGCCAGAGGTCAACTTCTATACAACCAAAACATCATCCATTACACTGCTGCGCTGGTCCCCAACAGCAACTGCTCTCAGCTGCTAACAGGACACTCAGCTGAAAAGCTGCTGGTTTAGAAACTACCTCTTCCATGAGGTTTTGAATTATACAGGTGAAGAAGCAAGAAAGGAATCAGAGATGCAATTCTGACAAGGGTATACTCATTTCATGTCAAGCCATTCATGCAAAAAGACACTTTTCAGGTGTCTGCAGGCCTTTCAGTGTTGATTACCTGTCTGCTGAATGTATTCTGCACATGCATCCAGTAGTCCTCCACGGGATCATAGCAGTATATGGCTTTGGTGAGCCCACCAGCCACGTAGATCAGGTTGTTCAGGGACACAGCTGTGATACATCTTTTTGCTATAGGGATAGTTGCACGGAGCAACCAAGAGTTAGTATCGGGATCGTACGACTGAACCTGAAAACAAAGAGATGAATTGCAGATTAAAAGCCTAACTGAAATAACAACCTGGCACGCCCACACAGGTTATACAAGGAGAGCCAGAGAAGCAATACTTGGGTGGGCTGTATCTCACCAAGAAAACAGCATAAATATAGGTCCATAGATCAATAATGTCTATATATGCTACCTTAAAGATTATTTGCCCAACACTCAGGTTTGGGAATTCATAAAACTTGAGACAGACCACAGTAACTGTACATTATTGAGCCAGCATTTCCTGCTCTGCATTGTTTTATGACAGTAACTCCACACAAAAAAACCCGTGTGACCTGCTGTTCAACCAGCGGCACCACGGGCAGCAGTGCAGCCCCAGCCAGTGGGCTGACCTTGTCAGAGCACGTGTTGTCGTCAGGACCCCCGCCGATGACGAAGAGCTTGCCAACACAGCTGGTGACTGCTGGGGAGCTCACGGCCTCTTTGAGAGGAGCCACCTCGGTCCAGCGGTTGGAGAAGGAGTCGTAGCACTCCACGCTGCTCAGGCGGTTCTGCCCGTCGTAGCCTCCCACGACATACACCTGTGCCAGCAGGGGAACCATCAGCACCTCATGCTTACATCAGCTACGGCATGTAAAGATGAAATCCCATTTAAAGCTGCAAGAATCCTCCTTTGCTAAGTTTGTGGGGGGATGCTGTCCTCAAACTTTTAATTTATATACGGGAGGAGAAGGATACGGCCTAAAAATAATTGGTAAAGACTCCCTGGAGAGTTCCATTCAGTCACACGTGGAATGACACTGCAAACCCATGGCCAAAGCATGGCAGTATTAATACTGAGATAGAAACTTCCTATTTAAATGGGATTTGTTACAAAAGGCACTTCTCTGCATTTCTATTTTGACAGATTACATTCAGCAATGGCAGCAGCAAAACTCCACCTGAATTTACCTTTGCTTTGCTGGGTTTTGCTTTTTTCCTACTTGCTTCCAAAAATATTTCTTGCTCTCAGTCTGTAATCTTTTCTCTACCTACCTGTTGCTTCTCTCATACTTAAAAAGCACAGCTTATTATTTGTGTCTTTCTTCTGTCCATCTCTTGCAGCTGCAATTCTCATCCCCAAGGAGCCCAAGGACACCACATGCACACCTTCCCTAGCTGTGATTAAGGGAATCCCCAAGGGCAGCTGACCCCAACTGCAGGTTTTACAGTAAGGCATATATGACTTCAAAGTACAGCAAAACACTCCCATTTCCCCACAGCATGCTTTTGGTTGATTTCAACAGACAACACTAAATAAAAGAGCACAGAGCTGACATTCAGAGCAGTACCAGTTTCTGTTAATAACTGCATAAACAGTTTAACTTTTGACAATCACTTTTAAAGCACAAATCCAGACACCTCTTTGTTACCCAAAAAATTGTTTCTCGGGGATAAGATCCTTCAATGACAAAAAAAAAACACACTCAAAAAATTAATAACTGAGGGGTAATGTGATTTTTATGCCCACAGATAGTGTCTGACTGATAAAGAGCCTAATTGTTTAAAATATTACCCCATTTGAAAATAAATATTTCTAAGTTTTTTGATAGGAAACACGAAGTAATACTATATATGCACGTATCTTTTCTCTACTGTTTTCTTATATACAGCAAACATCCTCACTATAAAGAAAAATATACTTCTCTTACTTTACCAAGAAGAACAGCCATCTTATGACGCCATCTGCCTTTATTTAAAGAGGCAACTCTGATCCAAATATTAAGCTGAGAGTTATAAATCCAAACGTCTCGGCTATTGATTCTTCCACCTTTAAAAACAAAAATACGCTCGTCTGAGTAAGTTCATTATTGAACGAGAAATTTACACTTTGCCCAAATGACACAGACCCTACACACACCTGAGGAGACCCTTTCTTCAGTCCAACACACAGGACTTGGCATCTAAGCCATCAGCTGTACCCTATAATTTACTGAAAAGTAATTTAAGCTAAAAACTGAATGCAAGGTGTTGAAAACACTGTAGCTGTTGCTCATCTCACTGTGAAAGGCTGGTGTATAAATGGATCTCCAGCTCGGGTGCTAAATTTGTTTCCATTTCATATTCCCCCAATGAGAAGAAACTTTAACTGTTTTTCTTCTGGAGTCTAGGCAGAGGTACAATAGACACGAGTCACCAGCCCTGTGCCATGTGGTGCTCCCAGGCAGATGGGTTATTAGCCAGCACACAGCACGTTTTGTAGCAGAGAAATGCTGCTGGGAGGAGACGCCTTGGGATATTTTGCTCATAATTTTTCCAAGTGCTGCTGCCATCAGGCCACCACTCTGCTTTAGAGCAGTGTACTTAAGGAGCATAAGCTGATCTCTTTAAATGCAAAGGAAATCCTGGAATGAGCTGTAAAAACTGCCAATGAATACCAAACAAAAATCCCAGGGAACACTTTTGTCTCAGTGCGCTTGGTCTGGGGCTGGTGTTCACCATCTATGTCAGAGAGGGACTTTCCACCGAGCTTCTGGGCAGCGGGCTCGTGCAGCCCCAAGGCACAACAGAGCCAAAGGCCACTGAGGGCAGGGAGGAGGGGCTGGTGTGAGGCTTCCCTCACCCGAGACGAGGATGTCGTTGCGCAGGGCGCACACGGCGTACTCCGACTTGGTGAACTCGGGCAGCTTGGCCAGAGACTTCCACTCCCCCGTGACGGGATCGTAGCACTCCGTGTAGGGCAGATTGAACCCTCCCACGCGCTCGCAGCCCCCCACGACAACGATCACCTCGGAGTAACCAGTGGATCTGAAAGAGTGAGCACAGAAAACTTCACATGTGGAAGACGTTCCTTGGTAGGCGGAGGCCCAACAACACTGCCTTCAACACTGGGTGAAAAAAGGAAAATTTCCTAATTAGCATTAACTTAAACATAACAAAAACCCTCACACACAGCAAGAGTCACTTAGCAAGCAGAGGTTTTCACTCTTCGCAGCCGTCTCATCAGACAGTAGATTACCACACAGGCAGGCATCCTGGACTTGAGCTGCACCACGTTTTACATAAAATCAAATTAAACACCACAGAAAGGCCTTACTCTAATAATGCTCTTCCTGTGACTGTGTACGTAGAGACACCAGGAACAGTTCAAGCAAGGCCCAAGACAATGAGATGAGCAAATTGTTCCCTGAAGAAAGCAGTCGCCACGTCCTCCCCAAAGTTTAGAAAATTCTTAGTACTTTACATGGCTTAAATATTCAGAAAGTTTAAAATATTTTAGGTTATTTCCTGAAGAAAAAAAACTGAAGGCATACAGTGACCAAAATAAGGGAAAAGAAACAGACCTTAGAGCCAACACACAGTTAAAAAAGTGAAAAAGAACTGTAGTGGTAGAAGAAAACATTAGGGAATGCCAAAAGAAAAATTCAAGCCTAAGTCAACAAGTAAAATTCAGTGTGAAAAGCTTAGGCATTAGACAGTCTGCAATATACACAAATAAGCCTTTAAATTCTATTCCACAACTCTTCCTTCTACTAACCTGATGCTTCTGCATTATACATTCTACATTTGCAGCAATTACAGAGCTCATTAAATGTTAATCCATATTGAGATGCAGAGAACCAAACCACCAACCTTGGCGTGCAGATTAAAGTATGATCAACTCTTATTCCTCCCCTCAAATGTATTATTTCTTGGAGTCATTTGTCAAAATCTTTTCTTTTTCAAGGCATTTTCAGATTAAAGGATTTTGCACTGACATAGTTGTTTCAAGGACTGCTGTCTATTAATTAACTAAAACTGAATGGAAGATTGATTTTATTTCTGGTGAGCCCTTCACTGTGTTGTGCTTTAATTCTGATCCCAACAGGATCTCATCCATGCCACTCTTGAGCACTGCAGTCCTCTCTCCAGAACAACCAACCAAACCAGCCCAGATTTATGCCTGTGTTTAAGATAAAAGTTGCAGCATCTGTCCCCACATTTCCTAACGTGAACCTGTGCACTTATTAACTTGAAAAACCTGATGACATTTTCCTTCTTTTGAAACATCAGGAATAAAACCAGTTATCCCCTCTACCACCATACCCCACAGTTGAAACTCCCCATATATATTTCTACTCTGAATATTTTAAATGGGCAAAGGCAGTGCTGGGTGGCCATGGATCTAAGGAAGCACCTCAACCAGCCAGAAGAAACACTCTCTTGAGCTGCTCAGCTTTGAAGTCATGCTCACTCCTGGTCTCTATGCATTTACTGTTTCTGTTGTTTGCTTTTGAGGAACAGCTCTGAAAAGAATCTCTCTAAGGGTCAGACAGGGGAAGTTCCTGCACCAGCAAAGCATCACCCAGGGAGAGGATTTCCTTAGAACCAAGACGCTCATCTCGCAATGTGCTTTAGAAGGAAGTCCTGACACATCAGCTAACCATGTACAAAATTTATGTCTATTATTACTTTCTAGATTAGAATTAAGGCCTCCACTTACTCAGTGGAAAGCTTGTTGTACTAGATTACCAATCTTTATTTTAAAACTAAATGAACCAAAAATCTTTGATCAGAGCTCTTTCTGAATTGCTATGATGGAGCTTTGCTCTGTGAAGAAGTATTAATTTAGTACAGTATTTCAAATCCACAGAAAACTGAAAGCTTTGCTAATATTTTAGTACCTATATAACCATAACCTTTCCTCAGATAAGAAACACTTTCCCTGTCACATCTCCTTAAAGGTGTTTGCACTGTGCAGGTTTTAAGGTTAGTTCCAAGAGTTTTTGGAGATGAGGGAGGCCACAACAGTTTAAAAAACAAACAAACACCAAACCCAAACAACGTGGGGATGCACAAAACCCCCCAGAGGTAAAGGCTAATCCCAGAGAAGCACTGTGGATGGACTGGAGGTCAGAGAAAGCTGTGACCTCCACCAGCTGTACAGAAAGCCTGCCTTGTAGCCCTCAGGAGAACCTGAGTGAAATAAGAGAGGCAAGCTAGAACCAGCACTGCACAGGTTCCAGGAGACACCCCCCTGTTAGGAAGAGGTGCACAAAAAGGAAAAGGGAGAGTGGGAGACAAGCAACAGTGCCATATGATCCTGTGCATCCCCAGGAGGTCCTGAGTCAGAAGCAGACCTCCAGGTGAGGTGAAAACGTCAGCCAGCAGAGCACCAGCAGGGCAGAGGAAGCTTAGGCAGCTCAAAGAGATTACAGTCTACAACATTTTAAGTTTGGGAGACAAATTCTGGCAAATCACTACTTCCCCCTCTCTGACTAATTCACTTTTGGGTAGTAAATGGGATGCCAGACATAAATGTAAAGTCAAACAAGAACTCATCTCCTTGGGGGAAAATTAAGGGATTATGTTAAAGCTTTCTAAAGGCAACCAAGAAGGATGTGTTGAAATGTATAAGTGCAGTAGTTTCTAACTAATAATCACTTTCTAACACTCATGTATTGCTGTCAGACACCTTAACAGACACGTGATTAAAGAAGTCTCAGGTCCATGAGAATCTGAAGACAATTGGAAGCATGCAGTGGGAGCAGCCTGGTCTGCACATGGGGATGTGTTGCTGCTCACTGCTTCATCTCTCCTGGAGATGTGCTGTGGGACACAGCCAGCAGGGGACAACAGAGGCTTCAGAGGAGCCTGAGCCACAACCTCACGGTGTCACTATGTCCTTGCAAGTACAGACCTGGAAAGCTCTTTCAAAAGACCTTCTGCATTTGTCAGCCATGCCTTGTGGCACACGAGCAAGCAGGCAACCGCTACGCCACGTTTAAACTTTTGTTTACTTTGGGTAACACTTCACTGGCTTCAAAAGGACAGAAAGAAAAAACCTGCAGACTGCAATCCATGCTGTCCTTTTAATAACAGCTAGAACCCACTTCACTCATAGGTACATGCAAGAGATCACAATTGATTTCCAGAAATTTCAGTAAAAACAAGGGCGTGGGAATCTCTGATCCTGCAGCCTGTCTCCTTTTAGAAACAGTTTATACAAAACAGAAATTGGAGGAAGGCAAGAGAGAAGGAAGAGATCTCCCCAGCGTCCTCCCCTCCCCAAGCCCTCCAGAAACACTGTGGTGAAAACATGGGGCAAGGGGGACCTGGTAACTGCTTAAAAACATGATCTCTTTTTGCTATAGGCAACAGAAACAAACAGGCAACAGAAACAAAATGACAAAGAACTATTCCATGAATGTAATATAAAAAAGGGAAAAAAATTCCTGCTGGGAGGCCAGCCAGATTTTCTCTCTGTACATGATTTCTCGTGTTCCTGCCCACTCAAATTCACACTGCAGCCCAACAGACTCAGTAGTAGAACCAATGAACCCACAAAATCCCAATCCAACACCCCCTGCCCCTCCCCAGCTCAGAAAGCACCTTCATGAGGCACCATGCTGCATTTACAAAGTGCAGTGCAACACTGTGTTCTCAAGTGCATACACAGCCTGCACTCGGACAAAACTTCAGGCCTGAGTATATTTGCTCTCTTTATCAAATTGAGCAATAAATGTACAACAAACACCACAAGATACAGCCCCCCCCAACCTGCTCATGGAACAAGGAGGTCTCTGGTCTGAACTCCCATGGTCCCTCCCTCAGGTCCAGCCTCAGGGTATGAAAAGCCTCAGAAACTATCACTGCACCAGTTTCCAAACTGCCATGAACCAAAGTCTCCAGAGACCCTCCAAGGCAGTGTAGAGCTTGGAAAACCTGGCAGCAGGACTGCAAGGAGTTTAAGAAGAATTTCTTCTCTCACAGCAGGATTGAAAATCAGAAAGCCACTCACTCATGGGGCAAATGCTTGCCAAGAATTTCCTGCCCCCCATCAGCAAGCCTCTAACACAAGCCAAATAAAACCCCCAAAGGTTCCCTGCACAGTCATTGTACTGCAACCACATATGATTAAGAGTAAACAAAGAGGAGTAACTCCAAACACACTGTTTGTCCAGACCAGATCATTGCATCACCTTAAAGGAACACATGATTTTATAATTAAATCAGTTTGAGCTAACAATAAATTATCACATTAACTATCATGTGGATGTAAGGCTTTTACTGGGAAGATATTTTTCAGGAAAAAAACAGAACAAAACAAACCAAAAAACATCCCCACCATTGCTCATAAAAGCCACTAATAGACTCTTACTCATTTCTTCCTGCAACTTCAGCCACCTATTTCTGTAACACATTATTAAGTAGAAACAATACTGAATTATTAATATGTCATAGAATAAGCATGAAATGCTTCAGGAACTGTTTTGTAATGATTTAAAAATGCAAGGTTTAGTTTCTTTACAGTTAAGAACCTGTTGTTCTGCCATCTAGTGTCTATTGCAAACTCATGTAGCACTCCATCTGTGAAGTATTTGTGCTGTAGTAAATGAAGGGTCTGAATATCTATCCACATGCTTCATGGTGTGCTGTACACTCACCTGACTTTGTTATAAAAGAAAAAAAGGTTGGGAAATGGAAAGGTTTATCTGCCACAGCACAGTAAGCTCTTTTCAAGACACTGCTGTTGTATGAAATAACTCAAGATCTCACCTAGCAAATATTAGCCTTGAGAGAGTATTTTCCTGGCAAGGTAATATAGCTTCACTTACCTGAAGAGTTGCACATTTCATAGCAATGAAGTGATCTGTGCAAAGACTCACTCACACAGGTTTTCAAAACGTGTGTGAGCTTCACGTTTCATGGGGAAGCACACAAGTGTAACTGTAGTGGCTCCAGCATGCAAAATAAAATTACCTGCAAGCTATTTTATTTTCTGGGCACATGCAGATCCAGCAGCTGCACACTGAATGCTGCCCTCCTCCTGCAGAGCCAAGGACAAAGAGAAACAGCCCTCACCTGCGTGGCCTAGTTCTGGGAGACATCATCTCATTTCCAAGGATATGGTATCGCCTGGCTTCGTGCAGCAGCTGGTAGCACTCCGGGGAATTCTGGATCAGCTGGTCCACTTCCACAGTCTGAACAAAGTAGTTGGGGTGTAACAAGGGGAGCCTGACGTGCGTCAGGATCTCGTGCAGCACCGGGCGGCGCAGCTCGACGGCCCGGTACACCCAGCGCATGACGGCCTCGAACACCATCTCCTCCTTGCTGATCACCAGCTCGTCGCTGCAGATGTAGTCGATAAGCTCGTCCTTCCCCAGCTCCAGGAATTCTTCGTGCTGGGACACGTCCTCAAACGTCTGCAGCGCAAAATTCCTGCACTTGGTGAAGAGCGTTTTGAGCGAGTGGGTGTCGGCAAAGCGCTGGATGCCCAGGCAGTTGCAGGGGTCCAGCTGCTCCTCCAGGAACTTGGCACAGGCGTCACGCAGAACGCTGATCTGAAAGAGGCTCGAGGTTTCAAACAGATACTGCACGTTCTCGGTAGTGATTTTCACCTTGCCGGTGTAGACATACTGCAAAAAGCAATCCATGGCTTCAGCAAAAATGCCGTTGATCTCCACCAGCATCTCTCTGCTCTCCCTGTGGTCGTTGCAGAACATGGCTCTGAAGTAGCTGCTGCAGGCCGAGAGGACGGCTCGATGGCAGGGAAACTCCCTTCCCTCCACGCAGATGATCACGTCTGTGAACAGCCGGCTGTCTCGGAACTCATTGAAGATCTGGAGGATGCTTTCAGCGTGGGACGATCCCGAGGAGAAGTCGAAAAACTCAGGGCCTGACAAGGACTTTGGGTCCATTTCAAAAACCTTCCGCTTGGTTGCAGGGGACTCTCGTATCCCGCTCTCCTCTCTGTTCAGTCTGCGTCCCAATATTAGTACCATTGTTACATCAGTTGGCTATAGAGGCATTGAGAAAAATCTGCAGCGCTTCTCCTTCGCAGTGCTACGGTCTGAAAAACGAGAACGGTTCAGC